TCAGCCACTCCTCCCAGCTTGGTGTCGTCACACAACTTAGAGTATCATAAGCCTTTCAGTAAGGGCTTTTTTCTTTATCTTTCAAGGCTACTGAAACCACTCAAAGTCATACAAGTATCTCATCAGGGGAAGCCAGCAAAAGAAGCATTGATTTTCTGCCTAATGAAACAAAACTAGATCCTCAACTAGAAAACAAAGACTTAAATACCAAAGAAAAAAGCGATCCAGGTGTGGATGAAGATGATGTAGAGGAGGATTCTTTTTTTGATGATCCTATACCCAAACCAGAAAGAACTTACGGTTGGTAAGTAATGGGGATATTATATTTAATACAGGTTTCTTTTGTACTTGGTATGCTTGCAGACCTTTGAGAGCTAGCTGATGTTTTATTGTTTGCATTTTGTAAATATTAGTGTTTAGATATGTTCTGAAACATTCTGAAATATGCATTTCTATGATTTTATGATTTTCTTCTTTGAAATGCACATTGTCATCTGGAATCTCTTGGCTGTACCATGAGTGGAAAAACCTGTACCACTTTAAGGTGCATCAGTTAGACTATATAATCCCCCATTCTTTAGTGGAATGAGCACAAATGAGGCACAGTGTTTCTTCTTGGCAGTGGTGATCAGTACTAAAGGAAGTGGCCAATGACAGAGATGGTGCTTTAGATATCTGTATGGCTTTGTAAGGAGTACAAAAAAATACAGTGAATGTGTAAACTGTTTCCATAAACTGAGGATAAGAAAAATTTCTTCACGGCTGAGAGTTTTCTCTTCACGTTGCAGCACCTTTTGTGTGTGGAGTGCACTTCTCCTTACTCAAGAGCTAATTTAATTTGCCTTTAACCAAAGTCTGACCATCATAGCAGGTGTTTGTGTTGCCATAAAACAGGTTTAAATGATAAATTGGGAAAAGTAGAAAAGGCTGGAAAAAAACTTCTGGATAATAACAATATTTACCGATTTCTTGTGATATGAAAACACTCAAACAGTAAGAAAGGAAATTCACTTTGAAATTAGGTAAACTGGACTTCTTTGAAAAGACTATCCAAGAAAAATATTCTTAATTATCCAGTAAGATAAGGATTCTTTTCCTGGTAGAAAAACTTGGAGAAGAAAATTATTTACAAATTATGTGTCTGCAGTAGAGTCACAGTCCACCAAGTAGTAATTTGTACCTCAAAATGTTATTGTGATGTAGATATTACAGTAATGTTCCATAGTAAGGTTTTCTGAGAATATTAATAATAAATGAGTTAGCAACTTAGTTGTAACTGAGCTGTCTCTGCTGAGTCTTTTGCTTCTACCCACCTGGCACCTCCTCCTGAGGAGAACAAAGAACATTATTCTTCAAGTGAAATCCCTTTGTGGTACGTTGTGCTGGTGTGCCTGAGTCCCAAGAGACGAGTAAGTAGTAGAGGTGCCAGCATTGCTTGTTTTATGAAAAGCTAAATTCCTTGTGGGAGCTTTCCCAGTTCCTGTAAGAGGGGTGCAATAGAGCAAATCCTGCTGACAGAGGTGAATGTTCACAAAAGGAGACAGAGGAGTCAAAAAAACCCAAACAAAACGAACCCCAAAACAAACCAACCAAAAAAAATCAAAACAAAACAAAACTTTACTTGAATGAAGGGAGAGTCCACCAGATGGCATTCCTCAGTGGAGCCTCTCAAAATAACCACTGGGTGCAGCCCCCTTTTATCCTAGCTGCCCGACTGCATGTGACCCTCCTCTTTTCCCCATTGGCTAAAGTAATCAGAGGGTACAGACTTTCCAGACCATCCAGTACCTATTTCTCCTTAATATGTTACTCCCTCCCCATTACATACATTACATGGATAATTACCTCCAACCTTATGCTATCCAGGGTGGAAGAACTAACATTCATAAACCTATTAAAAAACAGGTGCATTTAACTCAAACTAAAAATACAAAAGTTTACATTGTTTTTAACCCCTGTGGTCTCAACAGGCCTCAACCAAGCCCTAAATTCAGATTGGTGCCTCCCAAGCCATAATGCCACCTCATTTATTTGTAAAGATGTCCCTATCTGTATCTTTTCAAGATGAAGGGAGCAAGCAGTTACTAAGGACAGAGTAAGAGACGATCCAAGCTCTCATTGCCGCTAGGTTTCAGACCTATTGTTCAAAATTCTGAGATGTTTTACTATGTATACATGGTATTTTAGTGATACAGATACAGTGAATGAGTCAAATGTTGTCCATTGCTAATAGGGATGGAATCACAGTAACAAACAGTTCTGGTAATACTAAATGTGAAAATCTTGATCTCTTTTTAATAGTGTTTCTTCATCCTTTACTTGCAAGTTGTATTTGGACTCAACACTTTATATTAATGAAGTAGGTAGTAGCCCAGTGAACTTTAACACATGATGATTAGATCTGTCTTGCTGTAACTGAGAGGTTTTCATTCTGTGAACTGAATGCTCTTGGGATTAATAGTTTCATCAAACATTATATCTTCTAGTTGTAAAACAAACTAAATATTGATTTATATCTGAATCTTTCTTCTTTTGGCTGCATTTACATGTGGGGATAATGAAAGGCCCCATGATAAAAATAACGATGCTGATGAAGGTGCAGGAGCTCTGTTTGTGAGAGAAGGCAGGCAGAAGTCTTTGCATAGGTGAGAGTGGCTTTCTTACTGAATGTCTTGCTTGACACTTGTGCTAGTAAACTGCCTACTGTTTTTGAGAATGCAGTATGAATAGTCCTTTCCCCTTGCTCTTTTTGCTGTAATAGTTGCTGTTCTAGTTTTATGACAATTTAGTGAATAATATAAAAGAATGTCACTATGCACATTTTACAGTTCTGTGGACTACATAATTATTTGGTTTGTTTTAGGAAAACTGAAGCTAATAAAACCAGAGGTCTAGCATCCCTTTCTGATGCACCACCTCTAAAAAGTGGGTTAGGCTCCCTGACTGGTGCACCTTCGCTAAAGGAGTCTGATAGTAAGTTTTCACGTGTTTTTGTGTTTTGATGAATGTAGAAGTTTCCCGTAATGTAATGAATGAGCTGTATGTTCAGATGCAAATGTGATTAAGTAGGCTTTATGTGGCCCCCTTCTGGTTGTAATGTGCTTCGTAGTAATACTTTTTTTCCACTGAGTGATTGCATACTGGTTTTGATCTATTATGCTATGACTGGGGCATCTTATGTTTTGGAGCATGAAATACTTAACTAGACTCCGTGTGTGTTTGTGTGTGTGTGTGTGTGTGTTTATAAAGCAGTTTTCAGGAGTATAAATTTCTACTGCTCAGTTTTTAACTGAAATTAACTTTTTTTAATTGTTATTTTACATTATTTGCACAAGTTCTCTAGGGATATTTGGTTTTATGTTGTGAAACTTGATCCTGAATACTGGGAGATCATCACTGTTTGCTACTCATGTTTTTAAATGTTAGCAGAGTTCAGATCTAAAAATTGGATACAATAGTATCATACTATACTAAAAAGTTATATAAGGTTATTGTACCTTGGTCAAGGCAACCCACAGTGTCAATACAGGCTGAGGGATGAAGGGATCAAGAGTAGCCCTGTGGAGAAGGACTTGGGAGTACTGGTGGATGAAAAGCTGGACATGAGCCAGCAATGTACGATCACAGTCCAGAAGGCCAACTGTATCCTGGTCTGCATCAAAAGAAGCATGGCCAGCAGGTTGAGGGGAGTGATTCTGCCCCTCTACTCTGGTGAGACCTCAGCTGGAATACTGCATCCAGCTCTGGGTCCCCTGGTGTAAGAAGGACATTGAGCTGTTGGAGCAGGTCTAGAGGATGGCCACAAAGATGATCAGAGCACTAGAGCACCTTCCCTATGGGGCCAGGCTGAGGGAGTTGGGGTTGTTCAGCCAGGAGGAGAGAAGGCTCCAGAGAGACCTTATAGCAGCCTTCCAGTACCTGAAGCGGTTTTACAGGAAAGCTGGAGAGGGACTTTTTACAAAGGCCAGTAGTAATAGGATGAGAGCTAATGGTTTTAAACTGAAAGAGGGTAAATTTTTAGATTAGATATTAGGAAGAAATTCTTTACTGTGAGAATAGTGAGTCACTGGAACAGGTTGCCCAGAGGTAGTAGATCCCTCTTCACTGCAAAAATTCAAGGTCAGGTTGGACAGGACTCTGTTGAAGGTGTCCCTGCAGGGGGTTTGGACTTGATGACCTTTAAAGGTGCTTTCTAACCCAAACAGTTCTATGATTCTGTGAAAAGAAGGCTCATTATAAATGACTGATGAGTATGTTTAAGTGCGATCTTACTAAAGAGTCACAAGTCAAATTTCTGATATAAATGCTTTTGGTTTGTTATAGATTTGAATAGAAACTCTGTTTTGAAAGACCTGAGGTTGGTGAATGCAAAACTGGGATCGCTAGAATTAGGCAAGTAACTGCTAAACAAGAGTAAGCTCTGATATTTTTTTAAACTAAGTTCTGGCCCAGCTTACAGTAGCCTTAAAAGGACCTTAGTAAGAAAAAAGCATAGCTTTACAATAGCCTCCTAAGGAGGCTCACATGCTTTAACTTTGATGTCTACACTAACCTGCCACAGAGAGCTGGGAAACCTTCAGATTTTACTTCTGTCACTCTGTTTAACACCACTGTGAAACTTACTGGAATTAAGAGCAAGACCTGGTCTAATGGAATATAGAAAAGTAAAAACTGGTGTCTTGTATGTGGATGAGTATTTCACACATGCAACAAAAATTAGATTAATTCTGTACATATATTTGTTAATATCAAGTGATAAATTTTGTTGTCTGGGCTTGTAAGAGAAGAGGAGGTTTGTATTTGCAGAAAAAGCCAGACAAGTCTTACTGGTTTTCAGTGGCATATTTACTTGCCCTCCATACCTTTGAAAGTTGCCTTGTAAGCTTTAGGAGCAATACAAAGATTGTGATATAAGAAGTATCAGCTCTCTCAAAATAGAGCTGCCAGATAATTAAATTTTGTCTTCAGCAATGTGGTGAACATCCTGAAAATGAATGTTCATTTTCAAAACAGTTTTTGTAAAGGAGATTGAGATTAATTAATGGCAAACAAACTCAGTTTCTCCTCCTAATCTCCATGAATAATTTAATCTACTCCCATTTAAGTATTTTGGTTCAGAAATAGATTATTTTTTGCATTTCCTAAAGAGAAATCTTGTTTGATTAATACCTTTTAAAAATTATTTAGGAAATGGAGATGATGATGAGTATGGTGATGACTTCAACAGGTAAGAGAAGAATGACATTGCAGTAGTGTACTATTTTTAATGCATTATGAGCATATTGCCTGGCATATTTGAATTATTTCGTAATATTTCAGTTAGTCACTATTGGTGAAGTCTGTCAGTATCTCTGAATTCCTTTAAACTTCCATTTGCTGTTTTAATACATATGATTACTAATTTAAAAAAAAAAACAAACCCAAAACAAACAAAAAAAAACCCAAAACCAAAAACTCCAGATCCCTTTTGTGTAGGGAGTAATGAGTTCCTTAAAACTTGGTGCTAAATTTAAGATGACAGTGTGTTGCTTTTTTGTGGAAGGTTTGTTTGTTTGTTTTTTCCCTGAGCCATGAACTTAACAGTGTTTTACCACTTTAATTACGTTAGACTATGAATATGGTGTATGCTGAAATTTTCAACTAAAAAATAAACTGTCATGGATAGTCAGTAATAAATATTTAGCAGCTTCATCCTTGTGATGTGAAGGTATTGGTGTAAACTGCAGGATTGAGGCCTAAATATTTATCAGTGTCTATTATGGCCTCATGTGGGTAGAAAGCCTTTAGTTGTTATGGGTTTTTAAGTAACTTCATATTTAACTTGCTAAGATATCCAAATTGAATGTCAGGTATAAAGTAAAAGTGAATGTAATATCTTGATGTTAGAAAAAAAAGTCTTATTTCTACTTCTATGGTTTTCTTTCTCTTTAGTACTAGTCATCGCTCAGAAAAAAGTGATATAAGTATTGGTGAAGAAATAGATGAAATTTCTGTGGAAACAGAAGAGTGGAATACCAGTGATAAAGTACGATTCTCTTAAAATTATTGTTCTTTTTTTTATTGTTCTTCTGATCTTGTCTTGACTTCTTAAAAAAACTTCTGTGAAGGAATGTGCCATTATCATAGGTTCCTAGAATACACATTAAGGTTGTATCATCTGTTATGTTCTGTATTTTTATACCTAGTGTTCCTGCCAAGTTAGAAACACTACTGCTTAAAAAAATCAAAGCAAAACAAAAACTCCACAACAGTTGTTTGGTAGCACAATTCACTGTCTGGTTCTAGACATGAAAAATGTATTTGAGACTGGTTTAGTATCAAGCGTAGGAATATCTTACCTCTATGTCTCAAAATCTGTCCGAGCACCTCCTAAAGAAGTTGAAATCTCACTGAGAGAGTGGGAGGCCAAAAGGGTGGGATGCTATATGAAGGACTACAAGAAATAATGCTTCCTGTTTCTGTGATTTCTGAGTTTATAATTTTATTTATTTTCTAGCTTGAAGGCATCACACAAGACCTTACCATTTCTCAGTTAAGTGATGGTGCAGACTATCTAGAAGACGTGGCATAGAACTGGACAGTAAAAATGTTTCATTGTGCTGGACTGGAAGACTGCTGTGGACTGTTCATTTCAGACAATCACTCTTTGCTGGAATGTCCACTCCCTATTTGTGCCTTGTGTTTCAGAAAGACTGTAGGTGGAGAAGGCTTTTAAATACTCTTAACAAGAACTAAAGGAAATAACTTGTTCCCATTTGAGTCTGATATCAGAATTTTCTTCATTTGGTTCAGCCAAACCTTTCACAGCAGAAGGTGGATTTTCCAAGCAGAATGTCCACTGCTGGCAGTGGGCATAATAAAAACCAGTCAATAAGAAAACATCTGCAGAGAGGCATGTGGCTTTATAATGAACTTGCACTGTTATTCTAACAGTCTGATTTTTTTATTTTAATTTTTTTTAAAGATAACCAAAGCAAGAACCGTCATAGGTAGTGGTTCAACTCACACTCAATTTAACACAGTTTTGTCAAGTCAGCATGTAATACATATTTATGGTTACTCTAGCCACAATACCTAATTGCTCCAGACTTACTTGAAACTGCTGTTTCTCAGACTTTTTTCAGACTCTTCTGAAAGTTGAATTTTTTTCTTAAAGGCATATCAAGTTGAGTGTCTAAACTCTCAGATCTAAATATAGCTAAATTTAGGAGCTAAATATAGCACTAGTCTTAACTCCGAATATTCTTGTTTAAATATGTTTGTCAGACTATTGGTGTTAAGACCCAAGCTGTTTTTATATATTATAACTTCATCTGTGTAATCTGTTGTTATATCACAAAAAGTAATTTTGTAACGATCCATAAATCATGAGCTAAATCTTACTGGGTTTTGTTACATTTTTAACAGCGTGTTAATAGTCTGTGGAGCTTTTATTATTGAGGGCTCCTCACGTGCTGTAAGCTCACTTTCATTCTTGAAAATCCTTGTTACATAAAAATGAGCGCCAGAAAGCAAAAGCACTAACCTTCTGTTTTGCCGATTCTGACTGCTGTACAGAATTAAATTCAAATACTTAGAAATACCATACTGAAGACATTACAGATGCTGAGTTCTGACTAAGAGCAAATTCTTGTATTCTCATCATCCTCTTGCAAAACAGGGTCACTTATGGAAATGTTGACAGTTCTTTAACGATACTGTTGTACATGGCGCTGCTATGTTATATATAGGTCATGGACATTTGTAATACTGAAACAAAACTTCAAAACATGCACTTTCTAAACATTGTGAACACTTTTGGAAAATACACATGTGAGTGAATATAAATAACTTAAATTGTTTTATTATTTTTTTTAGGCTTTAATTTTTTTCAGGAACACTGTTGACTTTTCATCAATGGTCACCACAGTGGAAGTAGCATGCTAAACTAAAGCCATTGGTTAAGCTTATAGAGCTGCTACTGGCATTGGATGCTAACTTAAATCTTTCTTTGCACTGGGCCAGCGGGCATGGAGCAGTGCTGGGAAGTTAGGCTTGTACAGTACAGAAATTATTTGAGGAGAGAGAAGAACTGTGCCTTTTATTTATGTGCACCCCAAAATAGCCAGCAAAAAAGCATCAGAATATTTTGTCATGGTGTTAACTTCTAACTTTGTGCCATATTGTAGCAGTTGAACACAGAGGAGAATTTTTTAACCCCAAAAAATCAATGTGCCATAGGATTAAAATAGCAACAATATTGTGACATGTGATAAATCCTGTGTAAGAATTCCTTTAAGTTTAGGGAAACCTGTGCCTCGAGATACCATGTACAAAAAGTTTCATTTGGGCTCCTTTTTTTTTTATTTTTTTTTTTTATTTTTAAGAGCAACAGCATGTCTGAAGGAAATAAAATTCCACTTGAAAACCTGGGAACAATTGATTTCTTGCATTAATTTTTAAGGTGTATGGAATAATGAGGAGACAGCATTATTTGCTTTTTTTACATGTGTTGGGAAAACATGATGTTCTGTTACCTGTTAGCTGTAGGATATGTGGCAATTTGTCATACCAGAAGAAGAGAAAACTTTATTAAATTATTTCTAATTGCATTTGACAGTGTGGCCTTTTAATAAAGAACTAATTAGATATTTCAAGTGTTAACATGACTTTTGTTAACAGCCAAGTGTTCTCTTACAAGGTCTCAAATTAACCCCCAAGGTACTTTGGCTCTTATTTAAGGAAATTTCAAAAAGTGGTAAGTCTCCATGCCTTTCTTCCTGTGGGCTTTTGCTGAATCGTATGTAATAGGCTAAATTGTAGAATAAAGCTATTGTACTGGCTAAATCATATTTCTGAGACTTCTTGAATCAAAAAATAACATTTAGGAAATTCAGGAAGCCCTGTGTGTTTTTGGGGGTTTCTTGAAAAGTGGTTTTTTTCAGAGTTAGTCCAATCCGCAGCTGGGGATGTGTGCGTGCTCAGGTTTCTTCTATGCCCAAAGGATCTTGCAATTCCTCATGGTGAATCCTGAAGTCTGATTAAGACCAGACTGAATAGGTATACTGGGTATTGGTCTGAGTTGTCAAATGTCTTATGATTCAACACAGGGGAAAAAACCTGTCTTGAGTGGCAAAATTTTGTCTTATCATTGTTAGTGTTACTTACACATGACTGACAAGCTAAGCTCCCTTGAATGCTTGTTTTGCTGTACCTTTCAAACCATATTGTTTGGTATTTTACATTAGTCTTCTCCCTAAAGGACCATACGCAGCTGAATAGCCAACCTCATCTGGCTCTTAGAACTAACCACTAGAGCCCTGTCTTAGAAGATGGGAGTAGTCTTGTCTGCATGTTCCTCTCTATTGGTTCTGCCTTTTCCCACACAGCTCTGTGAACAGAGCAGGAAGTATCTGGGGGGGGGGCACTTATGACTGCTCTGTGCAGTTCTGTACCAGCTAGATCTGGTTAGAAATAGGCTTTTTTGTTAAACACTCAGACTGTAATTTGCTTAACAAATTCTGTGATTTCCAGAAGTAAAAAATTAAGGACTAAGGAGTTCCATGGCATTAATATGGCTGTGGTAATGAGGATGGATTATAAAGATGATACCTATCTCTTTTTATTTTTTTTGTAATGAAGTTACCGTATTCCACTCTTTTTTTTTCCTTTTTTTTACTTTTTTTTTCTTTTTTTTTTCTTTTAAGTGAAGTGAGAAACCACACCACATCTGATCGAGTATTTCTGCATAGGTGATGTCTTCCTCAACTGTAGTAAAATTATTTTGACCTTTGGACTGTTTTGTCAACACAGTCCTTATTTAGACAATATATCTAGCTATTGGGACAATGTAAAACACTTCTGTTACTGACAGGGTGGTTGGGTGACAGCGATGAAGAAGAGTTTTACTTCCTTCTTTGCTTTTTAGCACTGATTTAATACTTTCTAGAGAGCTCGGCCTTCTCCTCAAGAAAGAATGCATCTGTGGATACTTGAGTTGTAGGTAAAAACTAACGAACTTCTAGTTTTAGCATTGTC